ACCACCATGATCATCATCAGCAGCAGCATCATGACCATCATGATCAGCATCGGCATCATTAGCATCATCAGCATCATCAGCATCATCAGCAGCAGCATCAGCATCAGCATCATCATCAGCGTCAGCAGCATCATCATCAGCATCACCATCATCAGCATCAGCAGCATAATCGCCATCATCAGCATCAGTATCGGCATCAGCATCAGAATCATCATCATCATCATCATCCTCATCATCATCGTCATCATCATCATCATCATCATCACCATCATCATCATCATCATCATCATCATCATCATCATCATCGTCATCATCATCATTACTATCATCATCAACACGGCTCTCCCAAGCTTGGGGGCGCGAGGCGTCATACGTGACTGCGTCCAGTGCCCCCTCGAACAGTCGCCGCCCAGAATGATGACTGGCACAGTTGCGGGACTTGCCGCAGGCAGCTGGATAGTGAGAAGGGCGTACAAACAGGACGAGGATGGAGGAGGGAGAAGGGAGGGAGGGAGGAGGAGCAGGTGGGCGGAGGAGCAGGAGGAAGGAGGACAAGGAGGAGGAGGAGGAGGAGGAGGAGGAGGAGGAAGAGAAGGACAAGGAGGAGGAGGAGGAGGAAGGAGCAGAAGGGATGAGACTGAGGGGGAGGGGAAGGACGGAAAAGGAGAAGTGTGGGGGAGATGGGAGGAGAAGGAAGGAGGACCAAGAGGATAACGCCTCCATCGGTTGGGCTGCCTGCTGTCACACGCTGTTTGGAGGCTGCGTGGCTGCAAGCGAGTGCAGACTGCGTGGCGACGGTGGGATGTCCTGACGTAGCTGCAGCAAGAATCGCAGTACGTTTGAATGATTCGGCGTAGATGTAGCCATTGTCGGGCAGCTGATGACAGGCGACACGTCCTGCCGCGAGTCACGTGGAGAGCCGAGCGCAGGAGGCCTTGGCCCGTCACGCGCTGGGGGTGTTGGCTGCGCTGGCAGTGATGGTGCGCTCGGCGTGTCGCTTGCGCACTCTCACCGGAGACGGGCGAGAGCGGTTGCACCTGGCAGCTCGCGCAGGTGCCCGCCGCGTCGTGCCCACCGGCCGTAGCGGCATCGGCATCGCTAGCCCTGGCTAATGCATACATCTGGCATCCCCTGGGCAGCGGCTGCCAGGGGCCCTCCTCGCTGGCCAGGGCCGGAGAGGAGATGCGCTGTGGGGGAGTCGGGCCTTCGGCGTCGTCCGCGCTGGCCGTGGGAGCAGGGTTCGGGGAAGTGGTCCCGAGTGTCTGGGCTCCCTGGGCTCTTCGGGGGACCTCCTGAGGGCCAGGCGCGCTCGGAGTCTCAGAGGATGGTGCACTTGACGTACGTCTTCTTGCACTTCGCATCGCGCCCTGCACCGCAGAACCACCAGGGAACACGATTGAACGCCCCAGTGTCTGGAAGCAGGCGGCCTCGCTGTCCACTTTGCTGCGGTGGCACGACATGCGGAAGCTGATAGCCGACTGGAAGTGGCGAGCGCGAGGACTGCCCGTGCTCAACGGATGCGCTGGACGTCACTGGGGGGGGGAGGGGGTACCGTAGGGGTTGCTCCCGCGTCGAGAGCTGCACGCCAGGTGCTGCAGGAGCGACGTAGCGCTGGACGTGGAGCCAGGCGAGGCGGCTGGCACGGACGAAGCCGTGGCGACGGTGGGTAGAGCGGTTGTGGGTGCCACCGTGGGCCGCGGCAGATGACGCTGCGTCGCGGCAGACCGTGGCGCGTGGAATGCGTCGGCGCGACGGCGAAACTCCAGCAAACTTCACATGCTTGGGGTAGTGAATCATCGCAAGCAGGGGCAGCGGAGTCGGCATGGGGAATAGACTCAGACGCGGCCGTATGAGCCGCAATCATGGAGCAGGAGGGCGGGGATGAAGAAAAGAGGGGGGGAGGAGGAGGAGGAGGAGGAGGAGGAGGAGGAGGAGGAGGAGGAGGAGGAGGAGGAGGAGCAAGAGGAAGAGGAGGAGGAGGAGGAGGAGGAGACGAGGAGGAGGAGGAAGAAGAGGAGGAGGGGGGGGAGGAGGAGGAGGAGGAAAAGAGGAGGAGGAGGACCAGCGTAAACCCAAGGCTCAACAAAGATATTGCAATTAACCCTCCCTCCAAGTTCCCTCTTCACAAGCGCTTAGAAGGATGTATTTTCACTGAGGGCAGCGGCCCCGTTGGAAGACACCTGTTTGAAAACCTTGAAGTGTGCCAGAACACCAACCCTGGGAATTCAACGCCGCGAATAATCGTCACTGTTGCGTTTTGGCGACCCTGAATCGCGCCACAACACCATCCGTTTGTCTTCAACACCGCGAATCAACGTAACTGTTGCGCCCTTGCAATATGGCATCGTGCCAAAACACCTTCCCTTGGACGTTAACCATGAATCGCTGAAACGTCTGGGGACTCTAAAACCGAATGTGCGCGGCGCGAACGCGCGAGGCACATTTAAAAAACAACCCGCCGTCATCCGGGAAACGCTTGGACATTTTAAAACGTACGCGC